GAGCTGGGCTAGGTAGGAGGCCTGCATTTACCTCTGCGGCATACAGAGAAAAGGAAATGCAGATTCCTTTTCTAAGCCAAGGAATCTGCATTACACAATTGAGACAGTATCTAATGTTTTGGGGTCTGGTGCTTCAGCTTTGATGTGTAATCCTTCAAGCCCCAGGAAGTCATAGCCTCTGTCTCGAGGCTTGATTCCAGCTGACAGTGTGGAGCATTGGCTCTTTGTCCCATCTTGACCCAGCTCATATTAAAGAGCAGCAGGTGGGGGTAACTGGGGAAACACGCATGCCATCTTCAAAGACTAGCACCAGCACCTCCGTTAGATGGATATGCACTGCTTAAAGCCAATTGAAGGGATAAGGGAAAGTCTTATCCAGCTCTGTACATATCGGTGCATGGAAATAGCATCAGGCACAGTGAAAATGGAGACCACTGCTCTTCTTTCAAGGAGAGCTGCTCAGGTGGGCCTCCACACCCCAGTAGATCTTATACCCAGCAGGTCCTAACTGCATGCATTTGTGGGCGGGGTGGTGTTTACATGCACCTGTGTGTTGAGGGGAGACTAAGCCAAGGTATTTGCCATCGACCCTAGAAACAGCCTGTTCAGACTTTAGAGGTGCTTGAGTGAAAAGAAACAGGGGAAGTGGGAAAAGGCACTGAGAAGTCATTGCGTTGGAAGCTGCTGGGTGCTTTCCCCCTTGTGCCAGCATCAGCTCAGTCTGCAGCACTAGGTGTCACTGTCCCCTAGTCCCTGCCAGTGTCTCCTGGACGCCATGGAAGCAGCTTAGCCCTTCTATTTCTGCACTAAGCTCCCCGATGCTGACATGACCCCGTGCCGTTCCACAGAGCACGTCCTTCTTGTTCTGTGTCCTAGGAGGGGGCTCTGCCTGGGGCTGCAGCTTCCTCTCCCAACAGCCTCTGGGTTTTCTCCTGGCACACTGTGGTTGATGCTGTCAGAAGGGACACAAAGATCCTGTTCTGATTTTCAGTTAGGATTTCTCTGTCAACCAGTTGCTTTCTAGGGGCCCTGCATTTTTAGATCCTGTGAGGTGTTATTATCCATTAGCTACACTTTAATTGAGCAAAGAATTTGAGTGTAAGAAAAATGACTATACCTCTTCTTGAAGGCTACTACTTCAAGTAGTTGCAAAATGCCAAGTTATGTCTTTTAGCATGTAACATGCTCAACTTCAGAGGCCTTTTACTCCAACACTGCTGAGTTTTAATTCCACCTAACTTGTTTTATCTCACCCATTTCTCTTTACTTGAAACCTATCACCATGTCTGGCATATTATTTACAATGTATTTATCATTGTGCTTTAAGTGACTAACACTGATTGTAAAGCTTAAGCATTTTGAGCATCAACCCAGAGCTGCAATTCATTTGCTACCTGGGTGGACAGCACCCAATTCTGGCCCTAAATTGTATTCCTGCAACT